GATGTTGGTGAGGCCGAATTACAAATCCCTAATGCAAGAGAGAAGAGAAAGAACAAAAATATGCAAAGTGTTAAGAACATTTAAATTGATTAACAAGGGTCGTATCGTCGATAGAGTCCAAAAGTGTAGGACAATGTGTAAATACTGCCAAACACGATTGTCATAGCAGAAGGGTATCGGTACTACCCACCTCAATCATCACTACACCAAATGTACGACCAAACATTGACTTGTAAGTGGAACTCAAACACAACTAGCGTTTGATAGTCCTTCTACCGATGGTTCTTCAACAGTAAAGCACATGGATATATTCAGAGAAAAAAAACTTATGATGGAATGGTGAAGTTCGTTGTCGGTGTTGAGGTGTCGCTGAGTATCGTGAACCACAAGCATTTCACAACATATATGAAATAATTTCTCTAACCAAGGTACATAGGGGTATGTAGAAACACTATTCATAGTGATATTATAGATTATTTCCATAGAACAAAAAACAATTGATTCTTGATTTACAAAAATATGGTGGTGTCATATCATTTACGTCAGATTCATGGGAAAGTATAAGTAAAAAAGATTATATAGCAGCAATTGCCCACTATATAGACCTACATCGGGTTATGCATAAAAAAATTATTGCTTTTAAGATAACTAAATTTCCTCATAATGCTAACACTATTTTTAATGCTATCATGCAAATTATTAGGGAATATCATTGTCAAAGTAAAATTCGTTCTTTTACATTTGACAGTGTCAGTGTTAATAAACCCGGTTTCAATAAACTTTGTAGAGTACTAGCCTTGATTTCGGTGATTTTTTGTTTCATGTTCACATATGTATGACATTTTTAATTTAATTGTACAAAATGGTAGGAAACATATTAAGCATGAAATATGTAGAATTAGGAGTGCACTAATATATCACACCATATTGGCATATCACCAAGTAGGAAACAAGCATTCGAGGAACTTTGTGTACAATTTGGCCAAGATTGTAAAAAATTTATAATTGGCGTAGGTTATAGATGGAACTCAACTTACTTAATATTAAAATCATGCAAATGATATGAACATTTAATAACTAAATTTTCTAACGGTAAGGGATGTAAGAAATGTCGACGATTCTATTTTGGTTGATTCTGATTGGTAACTAACATTTAAAGTTAAAAAAATTTTGACAAGTTTTTATGGGTCAACAAATATCTTATCTAGGGTTTACTACCCACTAGTTCAAGAGTCTTGAACGTCTTTTCGTTATTGCAAGGTTTTTTCAACAATACAAAAACAATCCCTCTTCTACTAAAATATTGTATTCTATGGAATTGAAGTTTAGAAAAATATTGGAAAGACTTGCTAATTTTATTTTGACCCCATGTACAATTTAAAAGGCACTAAATACATTATCCGACAAATCACATATTGTTTAAATTTTGACCATCTATCACTTATTCGAATTTAGAAACCATTTTAACTACTATGTACGAATTGTATGCATCGTGTGTATATGTGTAAATATTAGTCGGAGACCTGTCACACCAACTCCTACTAATCTTGAAGAAGACGATGTAGAACTACTTAATTTATTCGAAAGTATTAGGGAGGAAAGATATGATTCTGGTGTATCTTTTGTATCTAATCTGACATCGGACACAAGCCCTACTAGAATGCCTGTCGAATTAGTTAAATATTTTAAACACCAAATGCTTAGTAACGTAGAGCCTACAGATACAATACAATTTGATTTACTTGATTTTGGCGGAAGAACGAACGAAAATATCCTATTGTTTTTGCTATTACAAAAGATCTACTAACACATCTGATTAGTACTGTAGTTTCAGAGCATGTTTTAGTGTAGGTAAGTGAACTCTATCTGAGGTCAGGAGCCGTCTCAAAGAAGATATTTTGGAATTATTGATGTGTGTAAAGGACTTGCAAGATGCTCATTTTCGAATACAACATAAATATGAGGAAATTGCATATAATCAAGGAAAATTATATTTAATTTCGTCAAATAATCAAAAAAATAATTCACATAATATTTTGATTTTTAAAAATAGTTGTAGGTGCAACAAGTTGTTCGTGTACAATTTTAACTCTACTTGCTCAAAAATTTAGTAGTTGGTCCCAAAATAAAAGGATGAGGGTTTTTTTAAAAAAAAAAAACAATTTTTTGTTTTTAAAAAAGTGTGCTACGGACCCACGAGCCATAAGCCACGAGCTCAAGCTTGGCCCTTGATGGACGAGTCTAGCACATGCTTGGCTTGTCTTAGACAAGCCACGAGCCAAGCTCGTGTCTACAATGGCCGAAAGATATGGTGGGTTGTGAGAGAAAGATTGAAGTTTTTTTGGGGCTTATTAGCATAAAATGTCCATACGTTTTGCTCTTAGTGTACAAAACGTCCTCACATTTAATTTTTTTGCATTTTCACTCTTATTTCAACGTTTCATTGTGGAAAACGTCGTTTTTATCAATTTTTATCAAATATCTCAATTAAAAATTGTAACATGATAAATATACACAAGTAAAAAAAAAAAGGGAAAAGAAAAAAAAATAAAAAAATAAATTGCAATCATACTCCCATTTTTTTTAAAAGAAGTAAAAATAAATTCCAAATAAATTAAATTAAAAAATCAAAAAAGAAAAGAAAAGTCTTCATCTTATTCACCTTCCATCTCCCTTTCCCTCTCTCCACTCCCACTCCCACTCCCACTCCCAATCCTACCCCTACTCCTACCCCTTACCCTCACCCTCACCACGAAACGAAACCACAAAATAGAATGGAAAATACTAGAGGACGTAGAAATACTAAAAACCAATCTCTCATATTTCTTACTACATTATGTAAAAATATTTATGGTGTGTTTGAGCCACATTATTTTGGAATAGTAGATTGATAGAGAATGTGTGGTTAAAAAAAAATTATTGATGTGATAGAAAATATTATTTTATTGAAGAATGTGTGGTTAAAAATAAGTAGAAAAATGAAAATGAAAATTTTAATGTGGCTCAAACAGGGGCTTAGACCGGTTTTAGGATTAAACAAAATAGGGCTATTCTTCTCGTTATTATCAATGGCATTGTTCTTGACTTCCACAAGCTTTCTTGAATGTGGACGACTTTTCTGTAGGTGGCACTCACAGTACTTGTGATGGGGGTACTACAAACATCTTTTTAAAATCCGCATCTAATCGAGTACCAAAAGTTTAAAAAGAAGACTAGCAGGAAAAAGAAGATCAGGAGGCACATGGATGAAAAATGTAAAAGTTTGAAACGTATGGATGTTTTGCACACTAAAAGTCAAACATATGGATGTTTTGTGTTAATAAGCCCTATAGATCATGGCTTATTTTTCAAGCTCTTTCCTTTGAACAGATGTAAAAGAATTCCCCTTAATCATAGTCAATTCATTCCCACTTGGGTTCACACAACAAAGCAAAATCAACTTTTGATTTACATAGCAAGAACAAATAAAGAGTGATTTAATTACCTGAGGATTTGAAGGCGGTAGTTGTGGCGATACTACTAGTGTAGTAAGGAAAAAAAATGTTAAAAGGCTGTAAATTTCTTTTAACCGCCACCTCGACAATACTTATTTTCAGGACCCAAAAGTACTATTTTCAATTCTTGGTACGGGTGGGCATGGGGGTGGGAGAGGGAGAGGGAGAGGGAGAGGGAAAGGGAAAGGGGGAAGAAGAAGAAGAAGACTTTTCTTTTATTTTTTGATTTTTTTAATTTAATTTATTTGGAATTTATTTGTACTTCTTTTTAAAAAAATGGGAGTATGATTGCAATTTATTTTTTTCTTTTGATTATTTAAATAGGAGGCTATATTTGTCATTTTTATAATTTTTAATTCAAAATTTGGATAAAAATTGATGAAAATGACATTTTCCACAATGAAACGTTGAAATGGGGGTGAAAATGCAAAAAATTGAAATGTGAGGATGTTTTGCACACTAAAAGCGAAACGTAGAGACATTTTATGCTAATAAGCCTTTTTTGGTTCGATTTTAACCTTCTCTCTCTCTCAAGTAGGTTTAGCCTTTGTTTGAGCCCAATTTTTTCCATTGCAATGCATTATTGAACAATGATTTGACCAAACATTCTCCAATAAAATAATATTACACGTAAACTCAAAATTTTTCTTATTTTTAATCCCACGTTCTTCATCATAGCACTATTGCAAAATACATTTTTAAAAAAAACATAGGCCTTAAACAATCCGTTAATGATGGTGTAGTGGTGCTGGTTGTGGACTGGGCTGGTTTGTTGTGGGTAGACTGGGTTGGGAAATGGTTGGAGAAAAAGAACTTATTTGGGCATTTTGAAAAGATTTGAGACTTTTGTTGAAATTGTTCTTTTTTTTTTATTTTTTTGTAGTTGTTTTTATTGTATTAAATTAAAAAGAGTAAATTCATCATTTTATTTGGTCAAAATGGTGGAATGATAAGTTTTGCTATGCTTTTGTTTGGTTTAGCTAAAATTCAAATTTTTAGTTCAGATAAAAGTGGTAAAAAAGTTTTGGGTTCCACGAAATATGTGATTAAAGTTAATTGTTGACTTTGATTTAGATGTTAATCACAATTTAAAGTTGAACAAAACATGGACTTTATTTCCAAAAAAAATGAGGATGTCTAGTGCAAAAAATGTCGAGGGTAGATTAATAACATTTTGAAAAGATTGGGAATAGAGGAATACCAAAAAACCAATTTAAAAGTTTTGTGACCACGTTATTAAAGAAGGGAAAGCAAGTATTTTGATCATCTTAACATACACCCCCAACTAAAAGATACAAACGAAGTTTATATCGACCTTACGTAAGTCAAAACTAATGCTATATAACGCAATTCATTTGCGTAAGCAAACGTTGAAAACTAAGGAAAAGAAAAGAAAAGATAAACCCGAAAATAGAAGTCTTGTACTGCTGTTTGTGTACATACATATTAAGAAGTTCTCAAGAACAAAACTTGTTATGCTGGCTGGCTGCTTGCTATCGAGACGATTCATCTATCTATTTGAGTAATTTTCAATCTCTTGACAGCACTGAGGAACATCCTGCAAAGACATTATTCAACAGTGTGTTATGCCTAAAAAACATGCATCAGCATGTTGAATATATGAAATTGTTGAACAGAACAGAAGCTTACTCCCATGGCACATCTCCAACCATTAACCAATCTCCTTCCTGATCTTGGTATGTTAATACGTACCTTCCACATTTCTCCCATTTCGAATCTTCTTCTTCTCTTTCAGCCCCTGCCATTTTCATCCTTTACATTAATATTACTAACTACTTTTTGTAGGTTTATTCAAAGAGATATTAGTAGTGCTCACAGAGAATGTTGGCTTTGCAGTTGAACATGAGATGGAGAGTCTTGATCAAATCATGATAACCATAATGAGCCATTAGGTCGAGTTTTCTGCCAATGGGGATGCCTTCCATGTAAACCTTGACGAAAAAACTCGTTGAACGTCCCTGCAAATTCATGTCAATATCATCAGGAATAGTTGAAATGTTGAGGCCGATGCTGAGATCAGTTTTGGACGAGAGAAATGGGTACGTGGCGCTGCTACTATCGATGGACGAGGAGGGCGAATCTCTTGCTGTCATTGTTATTCTTCCCAAGTAAGAACTTGTAGAGCTGAATGAGAAATGAATAGACCATAGACAGAAGCAAGAAATTGAAAAAAGTATGGTAGGAATTTGGTGGTGTGGGGTGGGGGGCATGACTTTGTGGACAACCTTAGTCGTCCTCCTTGTATCCTCCCTAGCCGGCAATCACACGTATCAACCTTTCCTTTATCTCTATATTATTAAAAGAAAATTGTGATTGTCTCTTAATAAAGTTAAATCTCCAACACAATGTACATATTCTTGACTTATTAGTCTATGATCTCCATCATATTAGTTGGCGACATATCTGTCAAATACAATGAACTTTAAAATTGATAGCAGTGAAGTCTATTCTGAAAATGGTATCACAATTCAATGGATTAGCATCGTGTGTTGTGCTATTTTGCGTTTAGTTTTATGCATCTTTGCCATATATATTCTACCTGTTTGCTTCTTATATCTAATCAATACATAATTAAATTAAGTACAAGACATGTCTCCTAAGTGTCCGTCTTTCTTTAATTTATTTCATTCGCCCGTGTAGAGTTTGCGAAAAACAAACTAAAGTTTATTCATAACAAAATTAGACTTTGTTAGCCCATTGGATAGAATTGATATATCGTGAAGATATAATTTTTTTTTTTTAGGGTTGTGCTATGGGTACATAGCATAATATATAAGGGTGTCCATAATGGACTCATGGAGACCCCTTATTGGAGTGGTGCCTGAGCCCACAGGCACCTCCCCAATAGGGACTCTCCATATATCCATTATGGAACATCATATGTACATATAGTATTTCCCTTTTTTTTTATACATTGCTATAGACAATGAAGAAATATAAAGGGTTGGAAACTCTATTGGTCGACGAACTTTTAAAACATGTCATTTTGCATCACCAAACTTTACTTTCACACATGATTTTGGTCTCACATCACTCATTTAAATGTTTACTCTTCCTTTCAAATCATCACTCAAAACAGAGATAACGCAGTTTAATATGTTAATTTGGTTTTTTTTTTTTTGCCCAGTTGTCGTCTACGTTTTCCATGAAAGTTTGATTGTTCGACATATCATCAAATCTATTAAGTCGACTAATACATGGGTCACAGTGACATAATTTAAATAATATTGCAAGTTCAGTTCCATTTATGTTATATATATATATATAGAATTTTGTTACACGTACATCAAAATTTACATAATGTCATATAACATTCTACCATTTATCAATTTAAAACACAATTAACTTTTTCATCAAATATTTTCCCTCCACATCGTCAAATAAATTTGAGATGCATAAATTTTGTATGAATTGAACTAAGTAATAAAGATATGGTTTAAATGGGTTTTAAGCACCACAGATTGCAAATTAAGCAACTCTTCATTTGACCAATAACCACAAATAGAGTGTATTATATTGTCGCTCATCTTTATTAATCCTTTCCTAAAAAGCAACAATATCAAAAACTAGAAAAACAAGAATGCACGTGTAATTTGTTAATTAATGAGAGACATGCAACGAATGATGATCAAGGAAACAAAAAAGTAAAAAGTGAAAAAGAGCATTGTCCCCATTTAGCGAATATATTACGTTGCTTGGAACCAAAGAAAGTCATATTGAAAAGAGAAACAGAAATATTATAAACAATCCACAAAATCACTATGTTGCCACTCATGCAATTACTTTATCTTTTTTGAAATCCGACAAGCTCACTCTTTTTTTGCGTTGATTGATGAAGAAAGTTTTTAAACTAAAATATATGTAATCACTTGAAATTTTATTTTTATCATGTTTGATAATTCTTTTGAGAACATCACTTGAATCTGAATGACTCATTTAAATAATGCAGACTCTGTCTCAAACCTATACCCAATGTGGGATTTTTTTTTCTTTTTTCTTCGATATGAGTAGAGCGAATAAGATTTAAGTATATTGAACGGCTTTCCAAGTTTGCTTCTGGAGCCATTAGACTTGGACTAATTCATGCATCTTAGTTCAACTCCTAATGCTGTTTAAAGCCCCTGTCATTAGCCCTGTTTGAGTAGTAGAGCTCTTAACTTTAATACAAAAATAACTTTGAAATTTCACTGCTTACAATAAATCGAAATATGAGACCACGTTGAAATTCTATTTCTCCATGATGTGAATTGGTCTTATACGACACAAGTCTTTCAAATCTATTCTTGAAAATTGATGCAGACCTCATTCTTTCTCTACCTGCAGGTTTCCCTTTTTGAGAAGGTACCCTTGTGATATTTTGATCGAAAAGGCGTCTATTCAGTGAATCAGGCTACAAGCTTGCTATGTCCCCTCGTTGATCGCTCGTTGAATCATCTAATCCTCTTGCCACTAGGCGAAAGTTTTTAGTGAAGTTTTTGCTTGGTGATGCACAAGCTTGGTGTGTGCAAAATGTGGGGAATAGGATGAAAGCGGCTTCCATGCCTTGTTCTCTTGCCAAGCCTCTTGGTTTATTTGGGATTTTTCTCTTTGGATTTGGAGGATCTTTTCTTATCTGATTAATACATTGGAATTTTTACTCCTTGCACCAGAAAGACTATAAACCGAGCACGTGGATCTTTTCCTTGCCACTGCTGGAAAGAGCGAAACTTTTTTCTTTCCAAGAAGGCTCTCAAGCAGTTTGGTGCATGACTAAACTAAATATTTGCTCGAATTCCAATCTTCAAGGATTTTCGACAGGTTGAATTCCGTTAATAATTTTCCTTCGGACAGAAGAGGGATGCTTAATATTGAATGATGATGGTCAATTGATCATGGTATAGGCGAAGTAATAAAAAATCATGAAAGTCAGGTTCTCGAAGTCTGCTTTAAAATTTTTCAGGTCCAGATTTCACCTTATTTTACTGAGTGCTTTACCATTCAGGAGGGCCTGCAATTTGCTAACAGAACATTCTTTCAAGAACAACTTGAGTCTAATTGCATGAATGTGGTAATGGCGGTCAATGATCCATCTATTCACGCCCAACATGGTGTCGTTCTCCTAATTATCTCGAGTTCAACACATGTTTCCTGTTCAATGAAGAAAATTATCCTACAAGCTCGCGCCCCTTTAGTTGAAGTGTAAAAATACGCGAGGGTAGCTAAAACATAGAAAACTCGTATAAGGAAGGGGCAAACCATCCCAATTTCAGGATGGCAGAAACATTATTAAAACACACGTGGGTAGGTATCTAAAGCATGCCTTCTAAACCAGTGAGCACAAAACACATAAGATAATGAACACATGAATGTGAAACAGAATCAATTACAAGCCCACTGTTAATTATCGCCACTTGTTATTTCCTAGAATGACTTAATTGCCCCAAAGCCTTGAGGATACACACACGCACGCACGCACACACATCTAAGAGGAAGGGAGGCATGCAAAATTAAAAAATATATATATCTCTCTCTCTCAAATAGTCATTTTTCTTCTTGTTCCTATTTGAGCATCAAAACCAAAGAGTTTGTGAGAGGAATTTGTTGATTGTTTTTTTATAGTTAACAAAATATGTAGGAATCTTAGCGAAGAAAACCATGAATTTATCCCTTTTAGTTGAAAATGTACTACTTAAATCTACAACAATGAGTTAAATGGAAGTAAGAGCACTGGAAGTTGGATTGGAAGAGCACAACGATGATCTAGTGAACAGTAATGCAAATCCGAAGCGATAGCGGGAAGAAGCACCGACAAAGTTGCAGGTCGACATTTCTTTTGCTCAATGTAGTTGCCTACGAAAAAAGATGTCAATAGCCAAAAATGTACAAGTGAAAACAGAAAGACTTAAGGCACAAATGGAAGAGAAAGCATCTCTGAGTGTAAAGTTTGAAAATTCGAAGGCGAGTTTGTAAGGTGGATTCAATGAGAACAAAATGTATCATATTACTAGTTTCTTATGTGAAAACAACAGCAACTCGCAAGTATAGAAAACCTATGATAGCGTACTAGAAATGAAACAGGAGTGGCGTATAAGCAAGTCCACCCTGGAGAGGCTTGTAGACGAAGTGAATTCTTATGATATGAGGTATAACCAGCACTATCATCATGAAGGTTGGAGAACGAAAACCTTATCACCATTCATATAACATCCTTCTGTATGGAGAGTATGAAGACTGACTTGCAAGATCATACGAGTTGGATGATAACGACGAGTGCCCACCATTACCAAAAGAAATTAAGGAAATGCCAACCGAATAATTTTACCTTTTTTTATAATAAAAAAATAAAGTAGAAAAGAGGGATTAGATTTACCAATTTTCGTCAGGTCTGATCAGGAGCTAGCCATGACTGAAACAAGCATTCGCTAAGAGAAGGATGGGATAGGCACATCCATGAGTAGTGCTGAATTGATTGCTGGCGAGATCATATCATATGAGGAGGTGAAGGGCGCCTTATTGAATAGTTTATTAATGAAAACATTTTTACGACTAGATGTCCGCAAAAGAAATCTTACTTCTTTCACCAATTAATAAATCTAAAATGGAATTAGATCCAGATAGAAGACACCACCGAGAATCGAAAGAGAATGGAGCAAGGCCCAACAGAAAAACTCAAGAGAAAAGCCTCAGTGTATGCATCCATATTGCCGAAACAATAGTACCTGCATTTTTTGACAAGCTCAAGCGCATTAGCCTCATAGATTGTAAGCAAAGCATAGCCATATCCTAAAAATCGGAAGGTGAAGTTTTACATAATTTATTGCACTAAAAACTATAATACGGATGAGTACTTTGAAGTACTCAAAAAGACAAGGTTGTGAGGCCAGTAGATGAGCATGCATAAAATACTCGAAAGTCGCCATACCCAGCTAGAGGGCAAGGTCGAGAATGAAAACAAAGGCAAACAGAGGCATCACAAACATTAATTAATGTCTCAAATTCCTAACCTCTAGTGAGAGAAATTTATATTATAATTGGAGCCTTTATGTAGGTGGAGAAACAATAAGTGAATAGAGAAACTATACCTGAGTAACTAAGAAGCTCGCATCGGAAAATT